CTCCCTTGGAGAGCTGAGAGCTTTGAAAGGCCTCCTGCCAGGGCTGAGCCACATGTAACACTCACACCATCAAACTGCAGAGCTCTACACTCTGTGCTAAGCAGCATGTTTCCTGTGGCTCTGAAAGCTAATAATTTGTGCCTTCTTGGTTTATGGGATTTGGGATCCATTTCTCCTGGAATTAAGGTGGCTGTCTCATTCTTCACCACGTTCCACGGAATCTGCAAACTGGGCATCTTTACTTCTTGTCCCACTGAGTACTCTGGGTGGCTGTGGGTCAGCTGAGGTTTAAGTGCAATAATGCATGTTACAACTTTTTGTAGGGCCAGGCATTATGGCTCACGCCTGTAATCCCAGCACTTTGGGAGGCTGAGGCAGGTGGACCACCCGAAGTCAGGAGTTCGAGATCAGCCTGGCCAATATGGTGAAAACTGTCTCTACTAAAAATACAAAAAATTAGCCAGGTGTGGTGACAGACGCCTGTAATCTTAGTGGATGCCTGTAATCCCAGCTACTCGGGAGCATGAGGTAAGAGAATCACTTGAACCTGGGAGGCGGAGGTTGCAGTGAGCCAAGATCACACCACTGTACCCCAGCCTGGGCAACAAGAGGGAAACTCCATTTCAAAAACAAAAAACCCACAGCTTTTTGAAGAGCATTAAGCACTACACAAACATAATTATTTTAGTTACATCAGGCTATCTTCATTAACAACCTGACCTTGAGCATATGTGGATCTCTTGACTTTGGGAAAAAGAAGGACCTTAAAAATATTATAAATTTAATATATCCTGGCTCATATGTGTAATCCCAACACTTTGGGAGGCCAGGGCAGACAGATCACTTGAGGTCAGGAGTTCAAGACCAGCCTGGCCAATCTGGTGAAATCCTGTCTCTACTAAAAATACCAAAATTAGCTAGGCATGGTGGCATGCACCTGTAATCCTAGCTACTTGGGAGGCTGAGACAGGAGAATTGCTTGAACCTGGGAGGCAGAAGTTACAGTGAGTCGAGATGGGCCCATTGCACTCCAGCCTGGGAGACAGATCAAGACTCCATCTCAAAAAAAAAAAAAAAAAAAAAAATTGGGGCCAGGTGTGGTGGCTCACCCCTGTAATCCCAGCACTTTGGGAGGCCAAGGCAGGTGGATCACAAGGATCATGAGGTCAGGAGATCTAGACCATCCTAGTTAACATGGTGAAACCCTATCTCTACTGAAAATACAAAAAATTAGCCAGGTGTGGTGGCACGTGCCTGTAGTCCCAGCTACTCAGGAGGCTGAGGCAGGAGAATGGCTTGAACCTGGGAGACGGAGGTTGCAGTGAGCTGAGATTGCACCACTGCACTCCAGCCTGGGTGATGGAGGGAAACTCCGTCTCAAAATAAGAAAAAATTAATATATCTTAATATATAAATAATGTTATATATTATCTACAAATATTATATTAAATAATATATTAAAATAAGTATCTTATGTATACAAAGAACACTGTGCTTTGTGCTTTATATATAGCACTTCTAATCCTTTGAAAAAGCCTGTGAAATCATATTATTCCCAGTTATCCCTAGATTCTATTTTCTTAATCTGAGAGTCCTGTTCTCTTTTGGCATAGACATATGAAAACAGATGAGTCAGTATGAATTACCTGAGCTGGTTTTCCAGAATGGGCCTGCTGTTTTGCATATCAACATAAATGCTGTGTGAAAATTTTAGCTGGCTAACCATTTGGAATAGAGTAAGGGGCTTCAAAATTATTTAGTCAAGGCTGGAAACTGGGTTTTTTGTTTGTTTGTTTTGAGACAGAGTCTCACTCTTGTCACCCACGCTGGAGTGCAGAGGCACAATCTCAGCTCACTGCAACCTCTGTGTGCTGGGCTCAAGTCATCCTTCCACCTCAGTCTCCCAAGTAGCTGAAACTACAGATGCATGCCCCCATGCCTGGCTAATTTTTTGTGTTTTTTTGTATAGGTGCGGTTTTGCCATGTTGCCCAGGCTGGTCTTGAACTCCTAAGCTCAAGTGATCTGTCTGCCTTGGCCTCCCAAAGTGCTGGGATTACAGGTGTGAGCCACTGCACATGGCCAATTTTTATTTCTTTATGATCAAGTTTAAAATGTTTTCCCAATTACTCATCTGTTACTTACTACTGAGTTAAATGTATTTTTTTTTTTTGAGATGGAGTTTCGCTCTTGTTGCCCAGGCTGGAGTGCAATGGCGCAATCTCGGCTCACCGCAACCTCCGCTTCCTGAGTTCAGGCAATTCTCCTGCCTCAGCCTCCTGAGTAGCTGGGACTACAGACACGCGCCACCATGCCCAGCTAATTTTTTTGTAGTTTTAGTAGAGACGGGGTTTCACCATGTTGACCAGGATGGTCTCGATCTCTTGACCTTGTGATCCACCCGCCTCGGCCTCCCAAAGTGCTGGGATTACAGGCTTGAGCCACCGCGCCCGGCCTGAGTTAAATGTATTTTTAAAAATGGAGAGTAAAGTTCACTTCTTACCAACTTAACCTTACCTATTAGATTAATTAAATCCCATAGATTATCCATTAGGCATTTGATACAATTAAATCATGATTTAATTTCCACTTATCAAGTGAGCCTCTCTCAAAGCATTCAAAGCTTATGTCCAAGGCACAATTTGCTTACAGAAAGAATCTGAAGGGGCTGGGCACGTGCCTACAATCTCAGCACTTTGGGAGGCTGAGGTGGGCGGAGGTGGGCTGAGGTGGGTGGGCTGAGGTCGGGAGTTCAAGACCAGCCTGACTAACATGGAGAAACCCCATCTTTACTAAAAATACAAAATTAGTCAGGCATGGCGGTGTATACCTGTAATTCCAGCTACTCGGGAGACTCAGGCAGGAGAATCACTTGAACCCGGGGTGGGCAGAGGTTGCAGTGAGCCAAGAACACGCCATTGCACTCCATCCTGGGCAACAAGAGTGAAACTTTGTCTCAAAAAATAAAAAGAAGAAAAAAAAAAGAATCTGAAAGAAGATCTTTTACTCCATGATAGCTGCTAAGTATGAATTACATTAGCCAAAGAAGAAAAATTTATTTCTATTAGTCAAATGAAAGTGCTGAGAGAATTCAAATAAACCAATTTTCCATATACTTAAGTGCTCCTGCCTATATATTTAATACATTTCATTGATATTTCTTAGCTACTAAAACTAGTAAAAAAATACAGTATTTCTTCCTAAATGTTGTTAAAACAACTTCTTAGACAAATGGATTATAAACCGGAGTCAAAGCTTTATTTCTAGCTAGCCACAAGGGGTAAAACCTTTAAATGTACCAATTTAAGATTCCCTTTAGGAATTGTATAGGAAAAGCAAATGGTCAATCACTGTTAAACTGGATACAAGAGAAAAATAATGTCTGGTTAAAGATTATTAGGCTAGCCAGTCAGCTGGGTGGGTAACCTTGGCTTCCCAGAAGTCCTTAATCTCATTTAGGTCTATCAGAAAAGTGCTAAAGCATTTTAACAGCAATGCCAATTACTTCCCGGAGGAGGTTGTGAATTATATCACATAAAATAGTTCTGCTTCCAAACAAGGTTTAGGACAATTTTTGTTCTCAATGTGATTAAAACTTTTGTGCCAAAAAGTTATTATTGAATTTTTGTTCTAGAATAATATTTTTTCCCTAACATTTGATTTAAGGTGGCTAGCCCTTTTGGAATAAGCCTATGAAATGTTTCTTAGTTAAAAAGAATGTTGCAAGATTTGAAACGTTGATAGACAAATGCAACAGTTCTGAGAAATTGTAAGATGACATAATGGAAATAGTACTGAAGTAAGTGGCAAATCTGATTTTAAAACAAGCCAGCAGTGTCTGGATTTGTCTACCGATTTATAGGAAATACATGATAAATTATTCCACAGATGGGCAGTGAGGAATAAATAGACTATGGAAAATTCTACAGGACCGAAAATCTGGTTTTTTCAAGAAAAAAATTGCAAGGAAGGGGTGGGGGAACCTATATAAAATACATAAAAATTTACCAATCAATTACATGTGGACTTCATTTGAGTCCCTAGTGAAACAAACAAATTATAAAATAAAATTATGCCATTCTTGAAGCAGTCGAGAATTTGAAGTCCCTTACTGAATATTTAATATTAATGAATTGTTGTTGATTTTAAAATTGTGATAATGGTATTTGATTTTAAAATTGTGATAATGGTATTGAGTTTATATGTTAAAAAATCCACCTTATTCTTTAGAGGTAACAGTGAAAAATCTGCAGACAAAATGATATGATGTCTGGAATTTACTTCAAAATAATACAACAGAAAGAGAAGGGGGCAAGGATATAGATTAAATACAACTAGCTTGGATTGATAATGGTCGAAGCTGGGTGATGGGGGTTAGAAAGTTTTTTGCACAAGTCTGCCTTTTTGTATATGTTAGAAACTCTCTTTGATAGAAAGTTTAAGTTAAATGATGTCGGCAAGATTGGTCCTATGAGCTGTTGGTACTTTTGTTGCTTTCCTGGCTAAACTCCTTTTCTAGAGCCCACCACCAGTAGAGTCCTGTGCACAAAAAACAGGTGGAGGGCAGGAATGCCAATTACAGCACACGTGCAGAAGTCAGACCACAGTATGATGTAAGGGAAACCTTTCCTTTAGAGCATAATATTATGGGCGAAAAATTCCTGGCGAGACACAAGAAATGGCTATCACTTTGTATTTTTTTTTTTTTTTTTTGAGACGGAGTCTTGCTCTTGTTACCCAGGCTGGAGTGCAATGGCGCGATCTCGGCTCACCGCAACCTCCGCCTCCTGGGTTCAGGCAATTCTCCTGCCTCAGCTTCCTGAGTAGCTGGGATTACAGGCACGCACCACCATGCCCAGCTAATTTTTTGTATTTTTAGTAGAGACGGGGTTTCACCATGTTGACCAGGATGGTCTCGATCTCTTGACCTCGTGATCCACCCGCCTTGGCCTCCCAAAGTGCTGGGATTACAGGCTTGAGCCACCGCGCCCGGCCCAGAAATGGCTATCACTTTGAAGCATTGTGGTGAAGGGGTAGTACTCATCTCTCTTTGGAAAATAGAAAACTTGGTGGGGTTTACTGGCTTTGGATAGAGAAGACGAAAACAATGAGAAAGAATATGGTCCCAAGTTGGGCAAGGGGCAGAACTATTTTTCCATAGTTTAAAAGGTGCTGGGCCTCTTCTGGGAAGTAATTAGCATTCCTAATCATAGGCTTGATAGATGTAGCTGAGATGAGGACCTCTTCTGGAAAGCTGGTTGGTCACAATCTTCACCCATCCTTTATTCATCTTCTTTAACACTTCCTCCTTCTTTCTCTTTTGCATTCGACTCTTCCTCTAGTCTTCTTTTTTCCCTTTCTACTTCTTCATAGATGTTTCTTTCGAGAATTACTTGTGTATGACTTGCTCAGAGGGCTCTGTCCTTGCAGCAAACTTGAAATGAGGCTCTTGACATTTCTTGTCATCAGTTTGTCTGAGAACTTGCTTTCTTCAATTTTTTCAACGCATAGACTAGATTGTTCATTGGCACATAATAAATAACACAAATCTTGGAGTTTCTAGTCTAGTAGCTCAAAGAAGGTGGCTGGAAGCCTGGAAAAGGTGGCAGAGAAAAAAGGATATGGAGAGAGAGGAGGACATCAATAAGACCAGAGGTTGGGGGCTAGGCACAATGGCTCATGCCTATAATCCCAGCACTCTGGGAGGCCAAGGTGGGTGGATCATCTGAGGTTAGGAGCTCAAGACCAGCCTGGCCAACATCGTGAAACCCTGTCTCTACTAAAAATACAAAATTAGTTGGGCATGGTAGTGCGTGCCTGTAGTTCTAGCTACTCAGGGTCCTGAGGCAGGAGAATCGCTTGAACCCAGAAGGCAGAGGTTGCAGTGAGCTGAGATTGCACCACTGCACTCCGTCCTGGGTGACAGAGCAAGATCCTGTCTCAAAAAAAGAAAAAAAAAAAAAGAAAAAAAAGACCGGAGGTTAGAACTCTGCCCAGAGAAACTGCTGTGCCTGACATTCAACTTGACCTGTGTTGAATGTTCTTTCCTGACCTGTGTTGTTATTGTTCCTTTTCTCTCCCATCTTAGTAGATGACAACCCCATCCCTAGGTTGAAACCTAGTCCAAAAACCGAAGTTTCATCCTTGCTTCCTCTCATTCTTTCACATCTACACTGGATTCATATGCAAGTCCTGCTGGCAGATCTTCAACATGTATCATAACCCAACCACTCCTCCCCAGTGCCATTGCTGGAACACTGGTTCCAGCCACCAGCTCTAGCCTGGGTTACTGTAATGACTACCGAAGTTATCTTCCAGTTTTCGTCTTTGCCAGTTTCATTCTCCTCTCAACTCAGGAGGCAGATGATCCTTCTAAAATGTAAATTAGATTGTATCACTTCTCTCCTCCACAGGGTGCAATAATCATGCATCATGCAAAAGCTAATGGTCACACTGGTCTTCTGGTCTGTGCAAGCCACTTCCCACCTATTCCTGCCCTGTTAGCCCTATGATCACATCTTGGCTGTGCCCTCACTTGTTCCCACTGCCGTCACACTGGCCTCCTGATTTTGTCCCTAGGGACTGCACCTGCTGCTCCCTCTACCTGGGTCATCCTTCCCCCAGTCGTGGGTATGGCTCTCTCCAGTGCTTCCTTCATGGCTTTATCTAATGTTAAGGCTCCTCAGTGAAGCCTTTTTGACTCATCTGTTTAAACAATCAAAGTCTTATGTAGACAGTAAAACCAAAAAGAAAAAAAAAGTGGAATCTGAGTCATGGCACAAAAAATAAAACCACCACCACCACAACAACAGAAAAGGAAAAAAAAAAAAATGAAAATAATTAACCTCTCCTCCCAGCACTCTGCAACCCATCTACTTTGTTTTTCTCTGTATACGTATTATTACCAGACATACTATCAGCATGTCAATCGTTGTATTTATTTTATTTTGTATTTTTGAGACGGGAGTCTTGCTCTGTCACCAAGGCTGGAGTGCAGTGGCATGATCTCGGCTCACTGCAACCTCTGCCTCCTGGGTTCAAACAGTTCTCCTGCCTCAGCCTCACAAATAGCTGGAATTACAGGCATATGCCACCACACCTGGCTAATTTTTGTATTTATAATAGAGATAGGGTTTTACCATGTGGTCCAGGCTGATCTCAAACTCCTAACCTCAGATGATCTACCTGCCTCAGCCTCTCAAAGTGCTGGGGTTACAGGCGTTGAGTCACTGTGCCTGGTATTTGTTTTTTGAGAAAGAGCCTCACTCTGTTGCCCAGGCTGGAGTGCAATAGCACTATCTCGCCTCACTGCAACCTCTGTCTCCTGCCTCAGCCTCCTGAGTAGCTGGGACTACAGGCGTGTGCCACCACACCCAGTTAATTCTTACATTCTTAGTAGAGACAGTGTTTTACCATGTTGGCCAGGCTGGTTTCGAACTCCTGACCTCAGGTGATCTACCCATCTTGACCTCCCAAAGTGCTGGGATTACAGGCATGAGTCACCACACTTGGCCATTTTATTTGAGTATTAAAACAAGGGCAATCATAGAAGATTGGAAATACATGGGAATGTTTGGTTCCTTTAAAAGAATTTAAAGTTACATTTTGAGAAAAGACGTATTTTCTAAATCTGGACATTTATGCATCTGGTGTTTTGTTATTTCTCAGAAAAAAGTTTCAATATTTGAAATTAGACATCTGGCAACCCTAGTAACTAGCTTAAACAGGGCAGAGACAATCAACACTCTATTCCAGATCTGCCCAACAGAAAATACAACCTCCAATGTTGAAGCTTTGAGAGTGAGGGTGGGAGTGGGCAGTGTGGGTGTTTGCCCTATACACTGGCGACTTCTTTGGGGGCTCTGAGAGTGGATGGAGCAGGTGAGGAGATGCTGATGAGGAAGGTAGAGGAGGCTGTGGTGGGAAGATCAGGTCATCCCTGGAATAAAGCCCATTTTTAGGTTGGCCCAGTTGGCCTGCAGTGAACAGAATACAGGTCTGCAGCCCAAATGAGATTTGCAGGTAGACCTCCTCAGAGACTCCAGCAAGAACCCCAACAAGAGTGGAAATGAGACTGCGAAGTAGCCAGGAGGCACCACTGGGCTCTGGCCAAGCCTAAAGGAATCAGAGGATGACTGGGCATGATGGCTCACACCTGTAATCCCAGCACTTTGGGAGGCTGAGGGAGGTGGATCACCTGAGGTTGGGGTTCAAGACCAGCCTGACCAACATGGAGAAACCCTGTCTCTACTGAAAATACAAAAATTAACCAGATGTGGTAGCAGGCACCTGTAATCCCAGCTACTCAGGAGGCCGAGGCAGGAGAATCGCTTGAATCCAGGAGGCAGAGGTTGCAGTGAGCCAAGATCGCACAACTGCACTCACAAGAGCAAAACTTCATCTCAAGAAAAAAAAAGAAAGAAAGAAATCAGAGGACAAGGTACAAACAACATAAGCAGCAGACCTTAGCAGGGCAGCAGCGCCCAGGGGGACAAATGACAAGAACGTGCAGATCGGGGAGCTACGGGACCTCATGCTTGAGGTCTCTGACCCCATCCATCATGAAATCACAGTTTCTGGACAAACAATCCAACTTTCTATATATTCATGTATTCTGATGCCATCTTAGAGAGGAGCTGGTAGAAGACTGAGAAATCACCACTTTTATCCAGAGAGATGGAACATTAAACAAAGGGATCCTAAATGGTTACATTGGACCAAGGTTTAACCAGATTGGACCTTTAGCTATTTATCTCCTTGCTGCTTACTTAGTGGTTAGGTGTCCACAAGGTTATCTGTCCTATTTATGTAAAAATACCAATTTTTAATTTTTACCTATCTGATAAAATTGCAACCACATAATATGTACATAATTGTGTACATTTTCTGAGTATATGGTACCCATGGGTATAATCAGCTCAGATATTTAAAGCTCCAGGCTGTCTTGGTACAATGGAAATAGGGTAGGCACTAGCCTCAAAAAGACCTAGACTTGAACCCATCTCCTCTACTCTACTTCCTCCCTGTGGGAACCTGGGCAAGTTACTTAACACCTCTGAGTCATGGTTGTCTGTAAATGGATTTAACATGGCTCATCTCAGAGGGCTGTCCTGAAACTCAAAGGTATCCTTGGCTAGGCACGATGGCTCCTGCCTATAATCCCAGCACTTTGGGAGGCCAAGGTGGGTGGATCACTTAGGCCCAGGAGTTTGAGACCAGTCTGGGCAACATGGCAAAACCCTGTCTTTGCCAAAAGTACAAAAATTAGCCGGGCATGGTGGTACACGCCTGCAGTCCCAGCTACTCAGGTGGTTGAGGCATGATAATCTCTTGAACCTGGGAGATGGAGGTTGCAGTGAGACCAGATGGCCCTACTGAACTTCCGCCTGGCTAACAGAGTGAGACCTTGTCTCCAAAAAAAAAAAAAAAAAAAAGTATATGAATGTTGAGTGCCCCGTTCAGGACTTATCCCTCAGTAAATGCTCCACAAATGTCACTTTTTTTTCTTCCCACTCTAATTAACTTGTACATCAATAAACAAATGACAAATTGTTTCTTAGCTAAATTAGTTCAGTTAACTTTCAATAAATTGTCTTAGGTATTTGGTGGGATAATCCAAATTAAAGTATTGGCACATTAAGAAGACACCATTTTTTCTTCTATGCCAGTTTCAACTGTAACCTGTAGATGTCTTTGGGAATCTTCCTCTGTATCCAATTATGGCTAAAGGAACAGAAAACAGCTCAGCCATTGGTGTTAATGATTAGTCATAAAAGAGTCTGTGGGCCGGGCGCGGTGGCTCAAGCCTGTAATCCCAGCACTTTGGGAGGCCGAGGCGGGTGGATCACAAGGTCAAGAGATCGAGACCATCCTGGTCAACATGGTGAAACCCCGTCTCTACTAAAAAACTACAAAAAATTAGCTGGGCATGGTGGCACGTGCCTGTAATCCCAGCTACTCAGGAGGCTGAGGCAGGAGAATTGCCTGAACCCAGGAGGCGGAGGTTGCGGTGAGCCGAGATTGCGCCATTGCACTCCAGCCTGGGTAACAAGAGCGAAACTCCGTCTCAAAAAAAAAAAAAAAAAAAAGAGTCTGTATGTGAGAAGAGAGCTCAATTCACTCTGCCCATCCATGTAGCCATCTCCATCCCCCTCCATAGGATGAGGAACGATATTCCTTGAATTTGACCCTTTAGACTGCATCTACTCTTGGCCTTAGAGTGGGGGTATAACCCCCATGCAAGGGACTCAGCAGGTGGGGTATCCAAGTCTGCAGGGTCTTTCTGACACCCTTGAGGCCTCAGCCAGAATGGCAGCTCAGGGCAAACTCCTGTTTGGAGCTGTCCTGCGGGGCACTTTCCACAAGAAGCTGGTTTTTTTCCATGGGACATGATTTGACTTGCATGACTGGGCTGGGTAAGAATTAGCCAAGTAAGGGAGGGTTTCTGCCAGATGCATTGGGTCAAAATATCGAGCATTTGTTTCAACTAACCCCAACAGTTGAAAGCAGAATAAATGGCCATTGAAAAGGTGAGAGAAATGAATTTAATAAATCGTGGGGGTTTTTTTGTTTGCTTGTTTTTTTCAGAGAGAGTTTTGCTCTTGTCACTCAGGCTAGAGTGCAGTAATGTGATCTCTGCTCACTGCAATCTTCCCTCCTGGGTTCAAGTGATTCTCCTGCCTCAGCCTCCTGAGTAGCTAGGATTACAGGCACTATGCCTAATTTTTTAATTTTTAGTAGACAGGGTTTTTTTTTTTTTTTTTTTTTTAGACAGTGGCTTACTCTGTCACCAGGTTGGAGTGCACCTTGGCTCACTGCAACTTCTGCCTCCTGGGTTTAAGCAGTTCTCCTGCCTCAGCCTCCCGAGTAGCTGGGATTACAGGTACCCCCCACCATGCCTGGCTAATTTTTATATTTTTAGTAGAGATGGGGGTTTCACCATGTTGGCCAGGCTGATCTCAAACTCCTGACCTTGTGATCCACTTGCCTCAGCCTTCCAAAGTGCTGGGATTACATGTATGAGCCACCATGCCTGGAGAGATGGCGTTTTGCCATGCGGGGTAGGCTGGTCTCAAACTCCTGATCTCAGGTGATCCACCTGCCTCAGCCTCCTAAAGTGTTGGGATTACAGGTGTAAGCCACTGTGCCTGGCCTGTACGATATTTTTAAACATTTTCTACTCCATGAAAATAGGATTCTTTTGAACTCCATAAAACAGATACAAATGTATGTCCATGAATTGATGGGTCTGGCCTCTCCTGGGCTACACTTTATGTGGCATAAAAGGCTTCTGGTGAATAACGTGATATGGGGTGGCTGTGGGTGAGCAAGGACAGGAGAAGAAGAATCTCCCACCTGCAGTCCATTTCATTCTTTTTTTTTTTAAAGACAGAGTCTCACTCTGTCACCCAGGATGGAGTGCAGTGGCGCAATCTTGGCTCATTGCAACCTTTGCCTCCCGGGTTGAAGTGATTCTCCTGCCTCAGCCCCCTGAGTACCTGGGATTACAGATGTGTGCCACCACACCTGGCAACTTTTGTATTCTTAGGAGACAGGGTTTCACCATGTTGGCCAGGCTGGTCTCCAACTCCTGACCTCAAGTGATCTGCCTGCCTCAGCCTCCCAAAGTGCTGGGATTACAGGCAGGAGCCACTGCGCCTAGCTTGCAGTTCATTTCATTTTGAAGAGGACAAAACAAGGATCTGCTTTATTTTGCGGTCAGGGGTCTGTACTTTCTTTCTTTTTTTTTTTTTTTTTTTTTTGGGGACGGAGTTTCACTCATGTTACCCAGGCTGGAGTGCAATGGCGCAATCTCGGCTCACCGCAACCTCCGCCTCCTGGGTTCAGGCAATTCTCCTGCCTCAGCCTCCTGAGTTGCTGGGATTACAGGCACACACCACCATGCCCAGCTAATTTTTTGTATTTTTAGTAGAGACGGGGTTTCACCTTGTTGACCAGGATGGTCTCGATCGCTTGACCTCGTGATCCACCCGCCTTGGCCTCCCAAAGTGCTGGGATTACAGGCTTGAGCCACCGCGCCCGGCCTTTGTACTTTCTTCCTAACAAATGACTGAGACAATTTGAGTAGAATATAGTTTGACATTTTACTTTCTGGATTTCCTTTACCTCTTTTTGTCTTTCCTTCGGTCCACTGGATCTTAGACTGCCCAGTCTCCTTGAGCAGGCCTGAGTAGATGGTGATCAAGGCTGCTTCTCCACATGGAGTTCCCATGTATCTGTTTTGTTCTGCCCTGCTGCAGCAGTTGATCGAGGATGAGAGTGAGACAGTGTCTGTATGTTCTATTATCCTCGGCGGAGGACGATCTCTTTCGCTTGGAGACATGAGTGGAGACACCTCAGGGAGTTTGTTGAGGCAGAGGTACCTGAAGTCAGTGAGAGGATAAGCAGGAAAAAGACATGACACTTGAAAGCACAGATGAAGTCACAAGATATTAGATCAGGAAAGAGCCCTGGAGCCAAGGGAGGGCCAAACCTGGATATGAGTCACAGCTGTATTTGGGATAGTGTGGAGCTTACTCTCTGTAGGGTCTCCTGTTAATAGGCAACCACATGTCCTGGTCTGCTCAGGATGCTATTGGTTTATGCCTGTTGCCTGGGGCAATTAACAATAGCACCCCATTCATTCTTAGAAGTGTTCTCGCTGGGTGCGGTCGCTCATGCCTGTAATCCCAGCACTTTGGAAGGCCAAGGCGGGCAGATCGTGAGGTCAAAAGATCAAGACCATCCTGGCCAACACGGTAAAACCCCCATCTCCACTAAAAATATAAAAATTAGCTGGGCATGCTGGCAGGTGCCTGTAATCCTGCTATTCCGGAGGCTGAGGCAGGAGAGTTGCTTGAACCTGGGAGGCAGAGGTTGCAGTGAGCTGAGATCACACCACTGCACTCCAGCCTGGCGACAGAGCGAGACTCCATCTCAAAAAAAAAAAAAAAATGTGTTCTGATTTGGATGATAGATTATATTGTTACCCTACCTAGTCACTGCACTAGATAGTCTATCAATATCCCAAGAGGATGCTATGCTTGACAGTCCAGTAAACATACACTTAAAGCAGGACAAAGAAAATAGTCTAAATGGGTCAGGCGTTTTATTTGAGAAGCTGTGGGTTTTCTTAGTTCTTACTTTGTGTTAAATTTTAATCACCTGAGGTGATTAAATTTAACATTTTAATTTTGATCCTTACTCCGTTTTCTTTTGATCCTTACTCTTCTTTCCTTCTAGCTAAGAAAGTTTTTTTTTTTTTTTAAATTAACATTATACTGTAAATTGCTTTTTTTTTTTTTTTTTTTTTTTTTAGGTTTTTTATCTTTTTTGTTGCCTAGGCTAGAATGCAAGGGCACAATCTTGGCTCACTGCAACCTCTGCCTCCTAGGTTCAAGCGATTCTCCCGCCTAAGCCTGTCAAGTAGTTGGGATTACAGGCGTGCGCCACCATGCCCAGCTAATTTTGTATTTTTAGTAGAGATGGGGTTTCACCATGTCGGTCAGGCTGGTCTTGAACTCCTGACCTCAGGTGATCCACCCACCTCGGCCTCCCAGTGTTGGGATTACAGGCATGAGCGACCGCACCCTGCCCACATTTCTTTTTTTTCTTCTTTTTTTGCGGGTGGAGCTGGAGTCTTGCTCTGTTATCCAGGCTGGAGTGTAGTGGTGCAACCTCTGATCACTGAAACCTCTATCTCCTAGGTTCAAGTGATTCTCCTGCCTCAGCCTCCAGAGAAGCTGAGATTACAGGTGCATGCCACAATGCCTGGCTAATTTTTTTGTATTTTTTTAGTACAGACGGGGTTTTACCATGTTGGCCAGGCTGTTGTAGAGCTCTTGTCCCACCTGCCTCAGACTCTCAAAGTGCTGGGATTATAAGGGTAAGCTACAGTGCCCAGCCTTGTAAATTACTTTTTTTTTTTTTTTAAAACTAAAAAATGTATTTAAGTATTCCTCTGTTAACAGGTTAACAATGTTTGGCCACTACAAATCATGCATATACATATTTGCTTTTCATATACTGCATTTATTTCTGTTTTCTTATCTGCCAATGAAGAAATCACAGGTAGAAAAATCGTAAGATTGGTGGGATGATTAAATGAGATAATACTTACAAAAGCACATAATACAGCACCTGGTAAACATTCAATCAAATAAGCCCTTATTATTATTACTTAAACATTACTGGTTCCATAAATGACTTTTTCTTGTCTCAGAAAGCCCTCACCTTAGAGCTTTTTGACTAGTGGAAATTGAGCCCTATGCCCTTTCAGGGTCATGGGCAAGGGCAGGGCATGTCTATATGAAATGCCTTCCTGACCGGGCACAGTGGCTCATGCCTGTAATCCCAACACTTTGGGAGGACAAGGTAGGCGGATCACCTGAGGTCTGGAGTTTAAGACTAGCCTGGCCAACATGATAAAACCTATCTCTACTAAAAATACAAAAATTAGCTGGGTGTGGTGGTGGGTGCCTGTAATCCCACCTACTCGGGAGGCTGAGGCAAGAGAATTGCTTGAACCCAGGAGGTGGGGGTTGCAGTGAGCCAAGATCATACCATTGTATTCCAGCTTGGGTGACAAGAGTGAAACTCCATCTCAAAAAAAAAAAAGCCTTCCTAAAGCATCAATCAGGACTTCCATGAGGCTTCCAAATGAGAAACCCAAAGTTCTTGTGGTCTATAATCCCTTTCAGCTCCCAGTTATAAAGTGAATACGATTATTTATTCATTTCTGTAGGGGCTAAAATGCCATTTGAAGTTGTCATTGAAACATTAAATTTTTTCTCATCTCCAAAGCATAAGTTTCCAAAGACCTACAGAGGTGAGGCTGTGAGAGAGGCCATTCAAAGGAGAATGAGATGGAAGAAGTGGGCCTGCCACTCTTGGAACATGAGGTTTGTTTGTAGGAGCTCCTGTAGAGATTGGAGTGAGAAGTGGCAAGGTAAAGAGCTGCCTCCACTTTTATGTTTTATAATACGTTTTTTAGATGCTTCTCCCCAGCCAGAAATTGTCAATATGATTAAGAATCAGCTGTCTTACCTCAAAAGAAGGTGACCAGCTGCCCTTTAAATAAACTGTCTCTGCAGTTGGGGGCATCCAAAAAAAGCCATCTTTATATGAAAAATCAATTTTTCTCTTTGCTGTTTATTTTTTTCTTAAAAAGCTTTGAACAACATAGCAAAAAGTAAGAAAGGAGGGCTGTGCTCCAGATGTGCAAGGTTTCCTAGAAGAAAAAAGATCCAAAAAGCTTCTTCACCACCTGTCCTGGTGAGACAAAGAGAGGACTTCACATGAGAAGGATAATCAAAGAAAAAACTCCACTTGTCAGAATTCTTCTCTCTAGTTTTCATTTCAAAGAGGCACATCCTGACAAGCTGTAGAGTCTCTCCACTGACCAAAACCAAAAAAACAACAAGACAAAGTAACTTAAAATAGGGCTGAGTAGAACTGAAGGTTTAAGAAACTATTACAAACAAAGGAAACACGCTAATTCTCCCCAACAAAGATACAGGAAATATGTCAGGAGACAGAGGGGCAGAAATAAGACCCACCACCCATGTTTACTCTTTGCTTTCAGAAGACTCACAGAATTTCAAACAAGTAAAAATGAAAATACAGAACACATTTTAACAAAGCAGGTCAGTAGGTGGTTACCATGTGCCTACTTAGAGCGGCCCTTATTTCTCAGGGCCACGAGAGTGACAGCACAGATGAATTAAGCCCAGAAGCCAGAAGCAAAAATTTCATTTTGGTCTTTAGTCTTATTCTCTTCTCAACCAGAGACTAACGAAAGTAAACCACTTTGAGTTGCAGCAGCTTTCCTTCCTATCTCTGTACTAAAGAGTTGTGAAAGTGCCTATTGGCAAATATGAGGAAAAGGAAAAGCAACAAGCCTCATGTGACCACAATGAGGATGTCTGTGGAAAGACTCTTCAGAGATGGGGGTGTCAGTGCAAGAGAGGAACAGCACACAGGACTCTTAGCCTTGCCACTTTCTTTGAAAGGCTATGGAAACTGACTGGTAGGTGCCAGGCATTGTGATAGTTGCCATATATATATTCCTTACACTAGCCCAATGAAGTAGAAATTTGTATTTCTGTTTCACACAAGAAAAACCCAGAGTTCCAGGTATCACGGTCAAAGTCTCATATATATTTATGTTTTTCTTTTTCTTTTTTTTTTTTCAAGATGGAGTCTTGCTTTGTCGCCCAGCCTGGAGTGCCGTGGCAGAATGTTGGCTCACTGCAACCTCTGCCTCCCAGGTTTAAGTGATTCTCCTGCCTCAGTTTAGGGAGTAGCTGGGATTACAGGCATACATGAACCACACCTGGCTAATTTTTGTATTCTTAGTAGAGATAGGGTTTCAACATGTTGGCCAGGCTGGTCTCAAACTCCTGACCTTGTGATCCTCCCGTCTTGGTCTCCCAAAGTGCTGGGATTACAGGTGTGAGCCACTGCTCCCAGCAAAGTCATATATTCTAAATAGGGGTGGGCCAATATTTGAACAAAGATTGGAGAAGAACCAATGTATTTGCTGTGCTGTGAGCAAGCATATTTGCTCTGAAATTTGAACTGAGAGGCAGTTCTGGAATGTTCTGCAGACTGGGGGCCAGAATTGGTACCCTGGCAAACCAGAGCCACAGGCATGATGGTATAGTCGCCAAGGAATCAGCTCCCTGTGGCAGGAATGAAGCACATGCAGAGAGAAGAAATCAGGAGTCACTGAGGACTGGTGTTTGTGCAACATTTAAAGCTACAGATAGGCCAGGTGTAGTGGCTCATGTCTATAATCCCAGCACTCTCGGAGGCCGAGGCAGGCGGATCGCTTGATCTCAAGAGTCAGAGACCAGCTGGGCAATATGGCCAAATCCTGTCTCTACAAAAAAATACAAAAAGTAGCTGGGTGTGGTGGTGTGTGCCTCTATATCCAGTTACTTGGGAGGCTTAGGCGGGATGATTGCTTGAGCTGCAGTGAGCCAAGATGACACCACTGTACTCCTGCCTGAGGCACAGAGGGAGACCCTGTCTCAAAAAAAATTAAAAAGTTAAAATAAAAAAAATAAAGCTGCAGATGATGCCTGGACCTCTCCCAGGCCCACTGGTTGGAAATCACCAGAAACTCAGACCAGAGCTAAGAGCACTGAGCTAACTTGAGTAAATTCTGTTTCTTGAAATCTTAAAAGTATCTTTGACCTACCTCAGACCCCATGTCCTTTCTACTATAGCTCATTGCCTTAACTAAGCATAGAAATACAGTAACTAATTCAGTAAAAAGGTAACAAAAAGAAGTAAAATACAAAGAAGAAATGTGATCTGATGGCTAAAAGCATCCCCTCAGTTCAGCTAATCACCACTTTTGTGGTTATTTTTGTTTAACACTGTCAGAGTTTGCTGAAAAAAATATGGAATCTCATTTCTTGAATATTTGCAAAGAAGACATGTAGCCACCTATCAGAATGATTCCAGTGCCAATGCTTCTGCCTGAAAATCAATGAGTGTGTCTTTTCTTTCTTGTTTTTTGTTTGTTTGTTTTTGTTTTGAGACAGAGTCTTGCTCTGTTGCCCAGGCTGGAGAACAGTGGCATGATCTTGGCTCACTGTAACCTCTGACTCCTGGTTCAAGTAATTCTCCTGCTTTAGCCTTCCGAGTAGCTGGAATTACAGGCATGCACCACCACGCCAGGCTAATTTTTGTATTCTTAGCAAAGGTGGGGTTTCACCATATTGGCCAGGCTGGTCTTGAACCCTTGACCTTGTGATCCTCCCACCTTAGCCTCCCAAAGTGCCAGGATTACAGGCATGAGCCACTGCGCCGGGCTGAGTGTCTTTCAAGTCCCAGTCCAGGGATGTTACTAAACTGCCTTTGCAAAAATTATAAATGAGAAAATTATGACTAACCTAACTGACTCCATTTTGCTTCTAACCTCCAAGCTGACTTTGTTCATTCCTGGGCGTGGCCCCAACTAACTTAGGGAGAAATTTAGTTTACAGTTTAGCTTTGAAACCAAGACAATAACAGCCCTTTCGCAAAACAAACCCCCTTCCTGCCTGGGGACTAGACTGCTTTTTTGGAACTAGCAAATCAGCTATAGCAATTATGGTTTAGGAGTCATGCAGCTGGAAGCTGCAAGATTCTGAACCTCCTCAAATTGTTCCTGGGGAGAGCATCACTATTGTAAAACCTAAGATCAGTGCTTGACATACTTTGCAGACCCTACACTTGATAGATCAGCTGGCACCACCCAGACGGATAAACTGGCTCATCCTGTCTTGTGGCCTCCACCCAGGAACTGACTCAGCGCAAGAGAACAGTTTCGACTCCCTATGATTTCATCCCTGACCTGACCAATCAGTAGCTCCCCACTCCCCAGTCCTCTACCCACCAAATTATCCTCAAAAACCCTGATTCTCAAGTTTTCAGGGAGACTGATTTAAGTACTAATAAAACTCCAGTCTCCCATACAGCCGGCTCTGCATGAATTAAACTCTTTATTGCAATTTCTCTGTCTTGATAAATCGGCTCTGTCTCAGCAGCGGGCAAGGCGAACTCGTTGGGCAGCTACGTTATTGGTTAAATGCCATACCGAGTTCCTTGCTGGACGTTCAAGTTCGGCCTCCTGGCTCCCATAAGGAGACATATACCTGGCTCGTTCTAAAAGATACTAATTCCACACATTACCAGAAGAAAATTATTTGTGATGGCGAAACTTTTTTACTCACCTATAACCTTCTAAGGAGGATGCACCTTAATGAGAAACCTTGTTTTGCTGAGTGAGGTAAAGAGGAGGAGGAGCAAGGAGAGACCTAAATTGTTTTGCACAAGAAAAGAGATGTGGGGGAGGAGAAAGGCTAGAGTGGTTTTCAACCTTAATTTCCCATTAGAATCTCCTGGGGAGTTTTTAAAACGGGCAAACCTGAGTTTCGCTTTCAGCAATTCAGATTCTATTAGTCTGGGTGGGCCCCACCTGGGTACTTTGAGAACCTGTGGTAAACAGAGAGGAGGACTTTGTGGTTGGTGTTTTCTAGTCAAACTGCTGTGCCATATAACATCTGTCTTTCTGGAATACTCCTCAGAAATCTAGACTAATCATTAACACTTTGGAAATTTTCTTTCTTTCTTTCTTTTTAAAATATATGTTTGGCCTCAAAGTGGCTGTGGAGGGTAAAGTGTGCTCATGGTCTTGGTGGCTCTGGGGCAAAACATTTTATAACTGCAAAGAAGCAAAGGGTAGAGCAGGGTTAGAATCTCACGAGTGAACATATTAGCGATTTTGTCCCTTTTGTTACTTCTATCAAATAAAAAAATCTTTTGAGGTACAGAAGGTATTTACTTGGTGGGATACAAGTATAGCACTCATATTCTAAACAAGGTATTCTAAATAAAATGAAATAAAACAAAAGCAAAGCCAACATCAACAGAAGATTACCCTTTCTCTTTGACCCATACTTTGTCTTAGACATGATACGATTCAAGGGATGAATGTGTGGTTTGTAAATTTCCCAGACCTTTGTTTCTCTGGCCTTGAGATATGTCACTGCCCTTCTGCAGAAAGTGGAGATGAAGTGACAAGCAGTGGAACAAAAAAAA